AACTCAACTGCCATGTTAAACAGGTAACCTGCTAAAATTGATGGTAACCTGCTATCAGGTGAAATTGCATACATTTGGAGTGTTCAATGGCCTAATTGCATTTTTTTTTCGTTCAGTGGCCTAATTGCATTTTCAGGTTACGTTCAGTGGCCAATTTGAACCTTATTCCTATTCAATTTTCATAACCATATGCTTTTCCTTAAATCCTTAATGTCTCAAAATATGCGAAAACAATAATTATATCACTTTTTTTTGACAATAAATTTTCAAACATTTCATTTAAAAATTACAAATATACAATTTAACAAATCAAACAAGTTAATCAATAAATCTTCATTATAGTAGATAAACGAAGCGTATGCGAAATAGTGAATTTTGAAAAGTCAAATTCACATTTAGTTCGTTAGTAGATGATTTTCATTAAGTGGATTCACAACAGAGTATATTTGATGAATTTGTGAACACTCCTACTTTATATGTTTATGTATATAATCAATCGAAAATCAAACCATCTTTGTCTTTGGAATATTGTTTTGTTGTACAAGTGGCTCATCCGGTTTTGGAAAACAAGGGTCTATTGGATGTACATGCATGTTAAGAGTTACGGAGTACTATATAGTATATTTTAAGCATTTTTATTTAATACAAATAATATAATAAATGATATTTATTTATTATATTATTTTGACTAATTATAAATTTAGTCCATACATATGGTTAGAAATTTCTTACTCTTAAAAGTTAAAAACATAAGTAACAAAGAATGAAGTTTACCCCGTGCATACTCGTCCCATTTCTTGAATGGTGCAGTTTTTTCATTCAATGACTCCGTTTTGTTGATGTGTCTTTGGTGCTGAATACTCATGGGTAATTCCTGATTTATTGCAAAATGTATCGAACAGGTTGTTGTCGAATTTCCTCCCGTGATCACTTCGAATTCGAATAATAGGTTCATTTCTTTCCTTTTGAAGTTTCAGTCTCAGTGTTTTGAAAGCTTCAAGTGCTTCGGATTTTTCACTGAGAAAGATTACCCACGGAAAACGTGAAAAATCATCAACACATACTAGTATGTATTTCTTACCTCCAAAACTCTCTGTTTGAGTTGGACCAAAGAGATCCATGTGGATCAGTTTTAGGCAGTGACTCGTGTTTATGGTATGTTGAGCTGGATGAGATGATTTGGTCTGTTTCCTAGCTTGGCAGGCACCACAAATGGTTGATTCGACTTTCATCCTGGGTAAACCACGAACATCTTCTATCTTCATTTGTTTATCAAGTAGTCTGTAACTCAGATGTCCCAGTTTTTGGTGCCATAGCTCAGCTTCATCTATGCTGGTCCAGCAACAGAAGATATGTTAGTTAGACTATAGCAATTGTCAATTGACCTTTTACCTTCCATAACGCATTGATTTGTTTTGTCCATAACACTGCAGCTGTTTTTGGTGAAACACACATTCCAGTTTTGGTCGCATAGTTGACTTATGTGGATAAGATTTGCGTGAAGGCCACTGACAAGCAATACTTTGTCAAGCTTTGGCAAGCCAGCTACATTTAGTGTGCCTACCCCAGTAACCTGACCTTTAATACCGTCGCCAAAGGTAACTTCACCTTTGCTGGCATTTATGTTACTTAGGAATTTGGCATGTCCTGTCATGTGACGGGAACACCCGCTGTCAAAGTACCATTTCTCTTCTCTTCCTGCACTTTTAGAGTGAAAAGAAACAAATGAAATATAGTCAGTCTTTTTAACCCAAATCTGTTTTGTAATGGGTTGAATGTTCTTGTGCCTAAACTTCTCGATTCTTTGATCCTTGTAAAAGTAGTAGCATTCAGGTTTGGTATGACCTCGTAACCTGCAATATTGAAATACGGGGTTATAGAATTTATAATGTAGCGTATTTGATCTTACTATACCATGGGTGCGTTTCATTGTGCTGGATTCAGGGATGTCCTCTGGATCAGGTCCAGACGCTTTGACAAATACCATTTTATCTTTTGAGTTGCTTCCGGTGAAGCCCAAACCAAATTTTGCAGAAGTTTTTCTTCCGGAATCAAGGATCTTATCAAGTGTTGAAGTGGTGTCCATCATTTGGATTTGTCGTTTGAAGGTGCTTAGCTCCTGCTTCAAGGTCTGTACTTCTTGTTGTAGTTTCTCTTCTCGGTCAGCTGCCTTTTTAAGCAGTACATTCTTATCAGCTATTTGAGTTTGATATACTTTGCTAGCATTTGTTACAATCTTTATCTCACTAGCTAGTTTACGATTTGCTTTTCGTATGGCTTCCCATTTGGGATACAACTTATTAAACTCAACTTCAAAAGACAAGGCATTTAGTTCTAAATCTTCCGCGGAGACATATTCACCACCCTCTAAGTCAGCTCCTTCAACAGATTCCGAACAGCCAGCGACATGTGCAGTAAATGCGACAAAGTTACCCGAGATTTCTTCGACATCAGATCCAATTGTTTCAACATTAGGCTCGTCGTCACTCCAGGTAATGGCTGACGTAGACTTTTTGCGTCTAAGGTAGGTGGCACACTCTGCTTGTACATGTCCAAAGCCTTCACATTCATAGCACTTAATTCCTTTATTGTTAGGTTTTTCTTTGGACTGTCCTGGGCGTGAGAAGGACTGTTTGAAGTTTGATGGACCTGTCCTGGGACCAGCTTTGGACGATGTTGCTCATCTTTATGGATTTCTGTCGCGTGAATTTTTGGATACCTGTTTCAGAATTTTAGAAAACTGTTTAGTAAAAAAGACAACTGTATCATCACCTGTTTCGTCTGAATCAGATACAACATTATTTTCTTCAGCGGCAAAAGCTACATTTTTTTGTTTTTTCATTTTCGTGTGATCAGTTAAAATTTCTATTTCATAGGTTCTAAGATTTCCCATTAATTGAGTAACAGTTTTGTTCTCTCAGCCGTCGTGTTCCTGAATAACCGTGACTTTCATTCTGAACCTCGGTGGTAAGGACCTCAGAATTTTTATAACAAGTTTTGCTTGTGGGAAAGGTTCACCGAGGACCATCGCACGATTTGCCAGTTCTTGTACACGTGTGTGAAAGTTTATGATAGTCTTATCCTCATTCATCCGAATCTCTTCGAAGTCGGACTGGACCAGCTGCAGCTTTGATTGTTTCACCGACGTAGTTCCTTCGTAAGTTAACTCAAGAGCTTCCCAAACACCTTTAGCTGAAGCAATACCTGTAACTATTGAAAATTGACTCTCATGCATAAGAGAGTAAATCGTATCTAAGACCTTATCATTGTTTCCAGCGTTAGTTATCTCGGTTTGAGACCACTCAGTTTCAGGTTTAGCTACTTCCATTCCGTCAGTGCTAATACTGGATTTGGTGGGATGAGTCCAACCTGTCACCACAGACCGCCACACCGCTTCATCTTGAGCTTTTAGGTGTGTACGTGTGCGAGCCTTTCAATATGCGTAGTTGTCGCCAGTTAGCTGGGGAAGAATCTTAGCACGATCCATTCTGTAACACTCAACAACCCGTGAGATTGAGCAAATTAATAGAATAACGAAAAACAATAAAAGCCGCTGAAAGATTGAGTTCAAGATGCACGGAATAGCCAGATCGACAGACTAATAAATTAAGTCTGCTGGCTCTGATACCAATTGACTTATATTTCTCTGAATGCAAGATTTAACTTATATTTCTATTTGATTTTATGTTATGCAACAATCGCGTTCATTAATTAGATTTTTTAATCAAATGTAAATAACGAAAATTGAAAGCATAAAAAAAAACAATAAAACAAAAGAATTGTTACGCAGTTCGGAGTGCTTCTCCTACGTCTGCTGGGCAACCCACGTTAGATGTTTACCAAGCCTAAGCTGATAGTTGGATACACATTAATGGAATGGATATATGCTCACACGCCCCCTCCAACCAACACGTAGACCGGTAAACCGTAGTCGCTTAAGCTGATAGTTGGATACACATTAATGGAATGGATATATGCTCACACGCCCCCTCCAACCAACACGTAGACCGGTAAACCGTAGTCGCTTACGAGTGGCGTTGAGATTCGAACTCATGACCTTTGGTCTGGCTCTGATACCAAATTGAAGCATGTGCTCCATCTCAACTAAAAGCCTAAGCTGATAGTTGGATACACATTAATGGATATATGCTCACACTAACATCTACTCAGGATTGTACGCGCATGCCGTGACGATCTTCAAGAGATGCTTCTGCTGACCCAGGTACAGACAGTAGCTCAGACGAAATCCCTTATAAAATAAATATGATAAACTGATTTAACAAGATAGCAATATATAGAAATTAGGCTCTCTCAATTTAGCATGTATCAATTCGTCTCTTCAAGCCAATGTCTCCATCCTTTATATAATTGATTTCCCAACAATTTTTGTCAAATCTGTAGAAAATCCATACGCCTCAATTCATTCCCTGCCATGTATTAATAATTCCATACTTTAACATAGCTTTGAATCAATCATAGCCACATGTCGATTTCCCATGCTTAATTACCAACCAATTCCATAATTTGAATAATCTTCCAATTTCGAAAAGTCCTTCACTGAAATTTAACTTTGCTCTTGGAATTTAACTTTTGCTGTAGTAAAAATACCCTTTTTGATAGGAGACGGTCCATGGTCCATAGATTAATTCCAAACTAACTTCTAATTATTTTGTCAATTAAATTAGCCAACACAAAAAAGGTTTTAATGTGTATCATTTATACACTTATATATATATATATATATATATATATATATATATATATATATATATATACGGAGTATAATATTTTACAACTATTATTATTAATAATATAAGTTATTATATTATTATGTTTGATTATTAATATTATATTGATTAATTTAAAATAATTAGTGTTACCATTATATTAGTATATATCTTAAGCACATGAGCTCGCATTGGCAAAACTGGGGTCAAGGAAGTCTCATTCTCTGCCATATTAACATTATTTGCACCCCCATCCATCTAATTTGATGCTGATTGTACCGTAGCTTGATGTGTTACCAGGTTTTTCCTATTAGTGAGAAAAAAACTGATTTCAAAGACATCCTCCACCGCACGCCGTCCATCGCCGTCGTCCGGCCAGTCCAGTCCATCGCCGAACGCTGCCGCTCAAGCTTCTTCATCGTCCATAGCTCCGATCGCACGCACTGTCGCTGCTTCAGATTGCTTCCCCTCCGTTGCCGCCCAAGCTCGCCGCCGCTGCCGCTCCAAGCTACGCACGCCGACCGCGCCTCCGGTCTCCAAGCTTCGGACGCCGACCGCATCGCAGGTACGTACGTCGTTTTTAATTGTTTTTTTGTTTGTTATATTTTTTCGGAAATAGTAATTAATTTAATTATTTTTTGTTATTTGTTATGGTTGTTTATTTATTTTGAAATTTGTTGTGTATAATGGATCTGTCATCTCTGTGCATATGCCAAATTTAGTAGGACTTGTCTTTGAATAATGATTTGTTTGTGTTGCAATTTTTCTAGGAGGATATTGCAGTTATATTTCAGAAGGCAGACAAGGACAATTCTGGAACACTAGCAGTAAAAGAATTTCAAGAAGTCCTCAATGATATATGTGAAAGATACCCACAAGTAGAGCTCTACTTAAAAAAGAACCACATCAGTGGCCTGGTTGATTTATTGAAAGAAGCAAAAGGGGATGATGTTAAAGAATCTGTTGAGGTTGATATTGAAGAATTTAAATCAGCTCTCTCCAAAATGGATTCTCAGATGAAGAATCTTCATGCTACAGCTCAGGTTTGTGCAGAGAACACTATAATCATGTAGTATTTCACAGACAGATCTTCAAATTTTTCTAATGTTATTACTGATGCCTTTTCAGGTTGCATCTCAACAAGGTGTCTACCTTGCTGATTGCTTTAACCGTATGGAGAAGTGCGAGAAGGATCCAGAGGGTCCTATTCGTTTTAGGGGAGAAGGACGCCATCGTTTCCGGCCCTTCAGGTATAAGTTTAATTTACCTGTTATATATTTTGTTTCCTTCGATGATGTCCTACTGAGACCATATTGGCACAAAATTTGACTTTATATTTTCAAACATAAACAAAATAACCAGTGTATTATTTATTGTAGTTTAATTACATCATTACGATTTTATGGTGATAGTGTCATGTTATTAATGAACGAAAATCACTGAAAATGAAGTTGAGAACTAACTGAGACCTCAGTGAATTTCATCTTGTTTATTGATGCTGTCCTGCTTTTCTCAAGGTACAAGCATCTTGGACAATTTGCACCTCTAGGAGGAGAGCAAACAGCAGCACAACTTCCTGGAGATTGGGTTTCAATTGGCCACAGTACACAATGGCTCTGGTATTCAGTGTATGCTAGGTAAGTTATACTTCCCGTGAGACTTCATGTCCTCACCACTGCTATTACTCATGTACTGGTAACTAGACCAACTTGGTTTTTTCCAGATAACTATATTTTTATATTTTTATTGATTGACTAACTATATTTCAAATTTCAAACTTCAAATACAATTTAAACCAATGTTATATCTAAGAAATAACTTTTTGCTAATCATGCATCTTCCAGGTAGAGAAGGTAGTGCTGCCGAAGAAGGGTAACTCCTTGGTGGGATTTGTTCACTTTGATTCACGGCTTGTAAGTGCGGTTTGCATTCATGATTCTGGAGGACATCTACAAACCTTTTTGCATATAGTGTATCAGTGTACTGATCTTTGTTGGATGTGTTTGTCTAAAATTTAAGTACCAGAAGCCAGCCAACTATTTTTCAATAAAGCATCACCTTGAATTTCTAGTTATCACCTAAGTTCTTTTAACAGTAGACTTTCAGCATGTTATTACATGGTTATATGACTATATCAGAGCATATCTTAGCAAAACATATGTTCCTAAACAAGAAAATGTATCTGGTCCAAGAGATATTGTTACCAAAAATATGGGCTCAAATGCTGCACCTCTCCAAAGGAGGAAATATTAAAAGGCTTTCAACAATGGAATTGGTATCTTTTAAGTTTATTACTGTCTGATACTCTAACATCAACTTTCTTCTGATGATAGGATCTTGACAATGCTATCAAGGAATTGAATGACAAAACAGTACCAGGACCAAATGGAGGGCCACCATATAAACTTCAGGTCATATCGGTCATTATGGAATCTCAAATTTTTTTGAATCTGCAAGGGGTTACATCTGAATAAGTGTTAAAGAGAGAGGAATGTAGAAATGGAATCCAATAAAAGATCCCATGTGGTTGATTGGGACAACGGCTTAGTTGAGTTGTGTTATAGATGTACATTGCATGTTTGTGAGATGTACATTTAGACTTGAACAGACCTCTTCTTATAACAGGTTGAAGTTGCAAGGCCCATGGACAAAAGCAAGAAGCGTGTTCGTGATGAGTCACAAAGCAAGTCATCCAGCAACATTCAGAAGCATTCCAAGGAACCAGAGGTTAAATTCAACAAATTGATTTATAGAAAATTAAACAATTACCTTTCTACACTGGTGAACTTAGGGAAGGGATCTCGAGAAGTGGGGTCACTAAGCGTCAACTGACCGCAAACATACATTTCTTTTATCTCATTGCATTGATGCATATATGAAAAACAGATTTGTTTTTATTTATATATTTACATGTTATCAGGAAGTCAAAGTTTCTGATCCTTATGAAGCTGCTATAGTTGCATTACCTGCTGTTATCACTGAACGTTTACTGAGGATCATGCGGCTTGGCATTGCTACTAGATATGATGTAAATGTGATGTTATGAATTTTTTTTTTCAATGACAGTCTTAAATTTGCTCATGTTTTTTTTCCTATACCTTGGATGTTAAAAACTAAGAGTTGTCAGATAGATTGAGCTCATGAATTGGAATTGCATTCTATATCAAAACAATGTAAGCCAGAAACCAATCTCTTGTACCATGTTTCCTTGTCTCTGCATCAACTCCTTTGCTAGCGTAATAATAACTATGGAATGTCTTGTGGCAGAGATCTGAGCAACAATCTCATTGGCAGTTTTCTTTCAGCTAACCAGCTTACTGGAAGTATTCCTGATTCTTTGTCTTCCCTGAGTCAATTATCAGCTATGTAAGTTTCTTGCCACAATGTGTGTTGCATATCTTTGTTTTTCATAATCAATATTTTGCTTAGATATAAATCTGCATGTCTTCCAAGTCTCTGAACGAAAACCTTTTGATTGGAGAGATTACTGATTCCTTTCAAGGACTTACAGCTTTGGTCAATTTGTATGACACCATTAGAAAATCATTTCTTTAATGCAAATGTAGGATTCTACTTTTTTAATTAACTAACTTTTCCAATTACAAACAGAGATTTATTTAGCATTTTTCTTTGAACACCTTGCATCCTATTGGTGAATATTTTCTTTCCCATCTATAGGTTGAAGCCACCGTAGTCTTTTTTGCTGTGACTAAACTCTTCCAACCAAAAGATGTTGGTTATCAGTCACCCATCTGTTACAATATTTTGTTGCCAATTTTACGAAGTGTGATTAATGTAGATATCCCTGATGAGCTACTTGAAGATGGCATGCAGATTTTGAGGGGCAGAGGCATGGCTTCAATGTACTCTTGGTCTTGCAAGAGGTAAAGTAGTCCCAAGTGTTTATTTTCTTGTTGTTTGTGTGAATTTCAGCTTTTAGGCCTTAGTTTTACATTTATTTTGGGTATTGAACTTCCGTGATTGTTTGGATTCTCAGGACATTTACATCTTTAAGTAATTTATTTTAATTTTTAACATTTAGAATTTGTAGTTTATTTGTAGTAAAATGTTATTAGAATTGAAATTTTAGATTGGTATGTTTTAGTTGATAGAATTGGTGTGTAGTATACATCTTAAATTGATTAATGTTGAAATATATTATTTGGTAGTTATGCTGGGATGTACAGGAAAATATTTGTAGTTTTATAAAAAAAAATGTTTTTTTTTTTTAAGAATTTTTTTGAACTTTGGACGCGTATAGTATTTTTTTTAAAAATAAATAAACACTATACGCGTCCAAAGTTCACGAACTTTAGACGCGAATTATCATTTTTCGCGTCCAAAGTTCTTCAACATTGGACGCGAATAATCATTTTGCGCGTCCAAAGTAGCTTTGGACGCTGATTGTTTATACAATCAGCGTCCCCGACATCTGCGTCCCAGCTACTTTGGACGCGAATTAGCCTTAACTTTGGACGCGAATGACTGTTTCTATACTAGTGTCATTCAAAAGGAAAAAGAAAACAATACATAACATTGAGTCTAAACCTACTACTTTGTCAATCAATGACAAAGTGGCACCCACTGATTAAAAAGTTCTCAAAGATCTGGCATGGAACTATGAACATGCAAGTAAATTGTAAACAAAAACTGTAGTATTGCCATTAGGCAAACCACCATTTTGAAACACTGTTATCCAGAAACACAGTTTACAAAACATCATCCAAACCATCAATCTCTTTTTTTTTTTCAACTTTAACAATACTTTCTTTCAATTTTAGAAATAGCAGTGCCCTACAATAAAACCATATATACTTTTCTTAGGAATTCAGTTTTGGCATACTAAAATACAATATGTGTTAAATTCATATACCTCTCTATCATGGAAGACGACTTCTATAATCTTGATCATCTTTATTGCGCCTCTTGTTTTTGAAGGTTGACAAATCACGTCCAAGAGTGAATCGACCCATGATGGGAGAGACTGAAGAGCACAATAAGCTACTGGTAGTTGTAGTTCTAGTGTTTGTATTCCAAGTTAACCATGTATATATAGACTGGAGAGTTGCGTCTCGATAGGATAGCCTTAAGCTTTTAATGGCCGCTTTTGGCTATCGTTTCGATTGACTAAACAGGCAGATATGCATCGCGTATATATTGTTTCCTTTCACATTTACACTGCCGTAAAATAGCCTAGATCTTAGGGATTCACCTACAAAATTGGACGGTGGAATTAATATTTGATAAACCTAATGATCTTTAAAATCGGCTGATAATTTTTTGTATTCCATATACTAAACGTCACTGTTTCTTGTAAGCAGAAGTTTTGACAATTATGCATTTACTGCTTCTTATTGCTATTTTATATTAATTTTGACAATTATGCATTTACTGCTTCTTATTGCTATTTTATATTAATAAAGATGTTGATGCTATCCCTTGCCTAATCGTTGGAAAGTAAGCAACCTTCCTCGAACCTCTTTGGGTGGTCATGTTGGTAGAGATAAAACCATTGTCTCTGTTGAACAACGGTTTGTTTGGCCTCAATTAAAATCTAATGTTGGAACTTTTGTCAAACGATGTTATGTTTGTCAAACAAATAAAGGGCACTTCCAAAATACAAGCCTCTATATGCCATCGCCAATCCCATAAAAGATTTGGGAAGATTTATCCATGGATTTTGTCTTGGGGTTGCCACGGACACAAAGAGGGTTTGATTATGTTTTCGGAGTTGTTGATCGCTTCTCAAAGATGGCGCACTTCATTCCCTGCAAGAAAACTAGTGATGCAGTTCACATTGCTCATTTATTTTTTCAAGAAGTGGTCAGACTTCATGGTGTCCCACGCACAATCACATCTTATCGAGATACAAATTTTTTATCTCATTTCTGGACTATCTTGTGGAAGCGCTTTGAGGCAAGATTACAATTTAGTAGCACTACTCACCCGCAAACTAATGGTCAGACTAAAGTCACAAATCGTACCTTGGGAAATTTGGTTCGTTGTATCTGCTATGAGAACATCAAACAGTGGGACTTTTCTCTTACTCAGGCTGAATTTGCATATAACAGTTCTATGCACTCCTCCACTGGTCCGTCTCCTTTTTTCGGTTGTTTACACAAAAACTCCCAAACATGCAATTGATCTTCTCCAACTGCCTTCCTCCGAAAAGATTCACAAGCAAGCAGATACCATGGCTTCAGAAGTCCAGAATGTTTAGCAAGAGGTACGTACCAAACTTGAAGCTTCCAACGCCAAGTTCAAGGCTGCTACAGACAAAAAAAAAAAAGAAGAAAACAAAAAAAGGCGACAAAAATTCTTCAATGTTGGTGATGAAGTGATGGTCCACCTCCGTAAAGAAAGACTACCAACTAGTTTTTATCATAAGCTTAGCCCAAAGAAGCATGGTCCTTTCAAGATCCTCCAAAGAATCTGATGGAATTAATTAAACCGGGGGTTCGGATTCATTAACCCGAATGAATAAATAAATATAAAAAGTATCGGATTAAAACGATAATAGGGGTACGAATATAGTCACGGGGACTAATATTGTATTAATTGACTATGTAACGCTATTACAGAGGTATGAAACGTGTAATAACAAGACAAGAAAGTGTTTAGGACACAAGATAGAACATGCCCTTAAGAAGACAATTACTAGGCTATTTATGCAAAGGAAATTCCAATCAATTACGGCTAAATTCGTGGAGGGCCACGGGACTAAATCCAAGCCCATGTGGTGGGCTGTGAGATTAAGTCAAGGCCCATCATTCTAGGCCCGGAGGTAAGCTCCGGGCTTGAGACTCTTCTTGGGCTGCTTGGGTTATACATTCCCGGACCTGGGTCTCTATTATTATTGGGTCATTTCCTATATATCCATCAGAATCAATCCTAATGCCTACGTGGGGTTGACATTCCAGATGAGTGGAAAATTTCCAAGACTTTTCATGTGGCTGACTTGTTCCAATTTCATTTTGATGCAGAGCCTCTATATTCAGATATTGCTAAACTCAAGGGCTAGTTTTCTTCAGGAAGAGTAGAATGATGGTGTTCACACATGCAGGCAGCTGAAATACAAGTCCCATGCATTTATTAGTTGTTTTTATTTATATCAAGTATTTATTTTTCATGGGGCTCTAGATGTCTTTTACAGAACCAAATATGGAATATAATTCATATTCTATATCTTACTTTTCGATTCCCTATTGAATATTTTTCTTTTTCCTCCAAACTCAATTTTGTAAACCAAATATACTTTAAGGGAAACTTTGTATGAATTTTTTTTTTTTTTTTTCCATTTCTACATTAAAAACAAATAGACCAAATTCTGGGAATGAAATTTTTTTTGTTGACCCACCCAATTTAATGCCTCCAACTCCAATTGTCTAACCCTAACCCTTTAATTGCCCGTTACCGTTTCCCCCATTCTACCCTCCTCTCTCCCTCTCTCTATTAGCACCAAAATCCTCTTTGTTAATCCCCCGTCTCCATTTAATATATTTCCATTATTTATACTCAATACCTATTCTAAATTGGAAACAAATGGGCCCAATTCTCTAAATGTTAGGAACATTGTATTAGGATTTTGATGATACCATTGTATTGTAGAAAAGTAAACCCCTAACCATTAGCTTTTTAATCGCTGCTTTCATCCTAGACGAAAGTTGCCATAACTCCTCTGTAATTCGTGTTAAGCTAGACAAACACACGAAAATGAGTTATGACTAGATGTTAGGGTCTCCAAGGCGAAAGAAGACACGAGACATGAAGAACAACAACAAGAATCAAGCAGGAGTTGTCAACAAGCACGAAAGGACAGTATTGGTGAAAGACGATCTTTATCAAGCATTACTTCTCTTCAACAACGAGAAGAATGATTCACCTGTCTGATTTGACAACATCCTAGGACAATAAGGACTTCATCTTATGGGACACACTTTTCAAGAAGCATTAAATGAAGATGTACCATCTCTTGGAGCTAAAGGACAAAACCCCAATGCTTTCCATACCTTCAACGGCTACATGGTACAACCTCATTAATGGAGCATTTAATGCATGAAGCTCCCCGGTCCTTGTCCACTGGTTGAAAGGTTCGAAAATTTCATCTCCCTCCAACGGATGGATTTTCATCACCTATATAAACTCACCTTCATCAACTAAGAAGGTGCTGGTTCATTATCACTCAACTTACTCACTTACAAAAGCTCTTGAAAAGTCTACAATTTACTAAAAGCTTTTGTGAACCAGCTTTGAGGTGCTAAGCTACTTGAAGATTCTTTTGTATTACACCTCAAGGAAGTCTTGACAATTATTTGAAGCAATCATATCTCAGAGTCAAGACCTCATCGTTGGAGAGTTCAAGAAATCATTTTCTACCAACCTCAACTCTGGAGAAGAAGTTGATAGAGGCGGAGTAAACTCGAGGAGTTGAAAAACCTACTAAGGCTGTCCGGCTTAGTGATCAAGGAAGTCTTTGTGTATTTGTACTAAGAGTGATAGTGCAATCCTTCCAACAGTTGTGGAAGAAGAGTGGAGTAGGCAACATTGGCTGAACCACTATAAAATCTCGTGTCCTCTCTATCTCTTTACTTACGCTTTTCTTTTTGCTCTCATATCATTCCTTTATTATAGTTACCGAAAGTTTGTCTAATTACGCAAACTCGTGCAAAGTATCTAAAACAAATCTATCTTATTCGTTGCGCCAAGACACCGAAAGGTGACGTTTAGGGCTTCTAACGAAGAGAGTCTATTCACCCCCCCCCCCCCTCTAGACTCTCATCTCATTCTATCGGGACCAACAAGTGGTATCAGAGCCAATACCTTGATCGGTAAAGGCTTTGCATTTACTGCCTGGTAGATCCCTATTCAAAATCTCTTGAAAATCTTGCATATTTTCTTTGCACGTTTTTTTAAAAAAAAAATGGAAAAGGAACATGCTCATCGCTCCAAACAACTTGCATTTAGTCTTGCTAAATTTGATGACTGGAAGTTAAGAATGCAGGCTCTCCTATGCTCCATTCATGACGAAATGTGGGACGTCATAACCACCGGACCACTCACAATCATGATGGCGAATGCTCAAGCAGCGCACAGGGAGCAGGAGCCCCACAAATGATACCAAAACCAAAAGATCAGTACTCCTCTGAAGAAAGAACAAGAGCAAATCTGGACAATGTAGCAAGAAATATTCTCTACAACTCTCTGGATGATTCCCTGTTTCCCAGAGTCCGAAAATGCAAGAATGCTATGGAAGTGTGGAATGTTCTAATGAGGTTGGGAGAAGGAGACGAGCAAGAAAAGGACAACAAGCTGACAATGGCTATGAAAAAATTCGAAGATTTCAAAATGCTGCCAAATGAATCAATCATGGATATGGAACTTAGATTCATCAGACTGATGGGCGATTTATCAGATCTTGGAAAAGAACTCACTGAGAAGGAAATGAATCTGAAGATCCTTCGTGGTCTACCTAAATCATGGGAAATGAAGGTCATTGCAATGAGGGACAGTCGAGATATGAAAACAACAAGCACTGCCAAAATTTTCAGTGATCTCAAAGCTTATGAGTTCGAACATGAACCAAAAGATGCCGAAGATTCAGAAACAAGAAACATTGCTCTCGTGGCAAATCAATCAGCATCAACATCCAACAGGTCGAAACCTAACTCTTGTGATTTTTTATCTGATGAACAATATGCACTATTTGTCAGGAAAATGAAAAGATTCATGAGAAAGAACAACTTTCAAGATCCACAACGTTCGAGCCACCGAAAGAAGCATGAGAACTTCCCTCAAACCTCAAAATCTGAAACCATGGACTCTTAGCTATTGTGCTATAATTGCCGAAAGCCAGGACACTTCAAGGCAAACTGCCCGCATCCCATAGTAAGCAAACATCAAGATAACAATGCTACCACAAGTCCCTCAAAAGAGACTGGAGAAAGATATAAAAGAAGCGACAAACCTGAATCATCAAACTCCAGAAAGGAAGGAAGAAGGAAGGCAATGGTAGTAAACGAAACTTCTGACACAGTCGCAACCGAAAGTAGCTCCTCAAGCTCTAGTTCAGAAGACGAAAGCACTGATGAGGAGAAAGGACTGCTGTGCCTATTCAGTTAAGAGTCAGACGAACTATGTCTCATGGCAGATGAAGACGAGGTAAATAGTCATTCATCC